GGGGGGGGGGGGGGGGCTGAAATGTAGTGCCACCTAAGTGATGGCCTGCATCACAACAGGGTGCACTAAATGGACTGCAAGAAGTGTTATAAAATATCTTCATATGCCTCTGAGATGGTGGAGTCTGTGTGCAGCCTGCCAGTTGAAGGAAAGAACTACTTTGTTTTACTTCAAGTAAGCAGATATCCTATCATGCTATTTTATATTTCAAAAGTGCACATTCCAATCAAATAACCAGTAAGATAATGCAGAGGTGCCAGGATGCTTTTATAATAGCAGTAAGAAAGAAACAATTCTAATATCAAATGAAGTTTAAGGTACATGGAGAAAAAATTGGGACAAAATAAAACTTCTGACAGAGATTTTTCATTTTTCATCCCCAGGTGAAAGGAGGATGGAGGGATTGAACGGAGAACTTGGTATAGCACTGCCACTTGTGTTAGTAACTTTCCCAACTCACTATGGAAATGGCAGAAAAAATAGACCTGAGGAATTCTAAAGAAACACTTAATCACCTACCACTTTTCATAGGGCAGCTAAGTGTTTTTTTATTTATACACATCTATCTATCTCTCTATCTCTCTATCTCTCTATCTCTCTATCTCTCTATCTATCTAAAACTAGGGACTACCTATATATGGTAGCTAACAGAGTAGCTAAGTGTGTGTATGTATGTATGTATGTATATGCACGTGTGTGTGTGTGCGTGTGCACCATTTTACTGAATTTTATAATCTGGGCAAGCTTTATGTGGGAAGAAATCCAAATGTTCTCCCATTGGCAATGGGGAATATTATCAAAATGTGCACTTTCAGGCAAACCTGAGTCTCCCTGTGTAAAGCATTTACATGCATCTCCACACTAAGATTTTTAAAAACATAACAACATTTGTTTTCTAACTATATAAAATTTCTTTTCTAACTATATAAAGTTGCAAATTAATTTTTTCTTTACTCCATCTTCAATGAGAGTGTAGTGGCTAATCAACACATTATGGATTGGGGAGACCCAGATTGGGAGGCTCAGATACAGAAACTGACTGGATGACTTGGGCCAGGTACCATCTCTCCAACCAACCTACCTCCCAGGGCTGCTGTTTAGGGGGAAAATTATGCCTATGCACTCCTTGAGGAAAGACAGGATATGCAACTAACAAATAAATAACAAACAAATTGAATGACATCAAATATATTGCACAACCTTCAAGGGTTATTAAACCATGTTACTAATTCACCTTAAGATTTTAGGAAATGACATTTTACTAATTTATTGGTGTCATCCAGGTCCCTGGAATTTTACAAAGAACAGATCTGACTGGAACCTAAGATTGTCTTACCTCTAGACAACATTTTCTTGGGGGCCTTCTCTTTGTTTTTTTCTTTTTCTTCTTTCTCGGGACCATCTTTTGCAGATTTGTCATCTTCCTTGTCAGATGGGCAACTGATGTGCAAATGTATGATATCCTAGTGACAGGACAAAAGCTGTATTTGTTGATGCTTTGCAATCAACAGAAGCTGGAAGCATCGTATGATCAAGTTTTTGGATCTAGGAAGGAATTTTACTTTGGGTCAGGTTGGCCATCAATCACTGAAGATTCTGGCCTCCCCTGCTCCATGTGGCTAAGTTCTTATTTGTGTGATTGATTTATATATAAAAAATTCCCCTCTCACCCCTATGGGTGATATGCGTCTTCCTCAATCTTGGGTCCTCTACCAGAGGCCTGGGAGTTGAGGGTTCTATGCCGTATCTGAGCTGTTCCTAGCACTGCACTCTTCTGGCAGAGAGCTCTGTTGTTGTTCCTCGGATCTACTGGAGCCATTCTCCCAGCTTAGGAGTCACAGCCCCGAGTGCTCCTACCACCACTGG